GCCTTACTAGTAGTGACAAGAAGCTATTAGAAACAAGTGCCTTACTAGTAGTAACAAGAAGCTATTAGAAACAAGTGCCTTACTAGTAGTAACAAGAAGCTATTAGAAACAAGTGCCTTACTAGTAGTAACAAGAAGCTATTAGAAACAAGTGCCTTACTAGTAGTAACACGAAGCTATTAGAAACAAGTGCCTTACTAGTAGTAACAAGAAGAATTTAATTAGAATTACAGTAAGTGCCCTCTATACTGCTGTGCCACCGAGCATTTCAACTGCTTCACCGCAGAGAGCTCCACCTGTGAAATGCGCGACAAAAATAGAAACGGAACGCGCACTTCAAGAAGCGTTAAACACGGAAAGTTTCGGCAGAACTCAGAATCAAATCAAATTGGACGTAATTTGTGTCATCTTGTGTCTTCGACCAAATGCACTAGTGCAAGGCGCCAAACGGGGAGGGACAAGCCACAGGAGAAGCAAGGGGGAGAGAACCAAACTTGCACAGAGAGGGAGAGAGAGAGAGAGAGACACAACTCTGCACACCGCAGGCTTTTGCAAGTAATCAGTTTCACAAGATTACAGTCTTGTGCACCGCGCACCATGCACAAGAATATACCTTTTTGCATGTTCTGTTGCCTTCTACATTCAGTGGCTTAGTGCGGCTCAGTGTTCTGTTGCGTTCCCAGACCGATTGATTCTAATTAGATTCAAATCTGTTTTAATTCTAATTCTATTTATTGTTTTTAGTAGCAAACATTGTTCCTAGTAGTAAGGCCAGGAGCCCCTAGTAGCGATGCCCTTTGCTCCTAGCAGCTTCTTGTTCACACTTTGACGATGCCAGGAGTTCACTTTCGTCACCTTGACGTCACGAGCGACTCGTCCGTGAACATTCTGCTGACGTGGCACTTGTTTCTAGTAGCTTATTGTTTCTAATAGCTTCTTGTTACTACTAGTAAGGCACTTGTTACTACTAGCGTGGCACTTGTTCCTACTAGCTTTGTAGGTCTGATTATTCTACACTGAGATAACGGTTGAATGGTTTTGTCCCATCTATGGAGGCCATCGCTCTTGGGTTGGAGGCCATCGCTATTAGGTTGGAGGCCATCGCTAGTAATTCGGTTGGTGGCCGTCGCTCTTCGGTTGGAGGCCACTCGCTAGCCAGTAGGTTGGAGGCCATTGCCACTACCTGCACATTGTCTGCATTGTCTGCAGTAAAAAAAGCAGCAGTAAAAGTGTGCTTCAACCAAAAACGTTCACCTCACCGGTTGTGAAGAGGTTCACTTCAACCAAATCCTGAGCAAACCGAAAACGGAACTGCGCGTCACTGCGTGTTCCAATTGGCATCTTTTTACAGACGAAGTGAGCGCTGCGGTTCCGAGCCTTCGCTGGACCTTCAACTGCTGTAGCAAGCAAGTCGTAAAACCAATCCAACTCCTCGCGGATCCGGATGAAGGTGTGACAAGACTATATGGTGTGACTACATATGTGTGTGCGTCAATCTCTTTTCTGGGATGCACTACACTTCCACTTTGAGGAGTTAGAGCCGTCCGCTTGTAAAGGTGAAAGGCTATTTTGGTTTCCAAGTCAGTCACTCACGCTTTGTTCTTGCCGCGTACACCGCTAATGCGTCCAGACTTTTAGGTAGTCTCGTGCTCCAAGTAAACTCCAAGCCGTTCCAATTCAAGTTTTGCAGTAAAGGGCTAATGCATTCGGCTAATGCAGTATGGTAAAGGGCTAATGCATTTCCTGACTCTTTACTGAAGCTCTTGCAAACCATCTACCATCAGTTTGCTGTATGCGTCTATGCTCTCTTGATGTCGTGAGTTCTCCTGCTGGTTCCGAACAATCCAATAGAAGTGGATCCGTTCTGGCACCGGAATCACCTCCCAAGCGATCAGTTTGCTCCCTTCTTTTCATGAAACTCTACATGGTAGTCTACAACCTCTTTTGCGGCGGTTTCGCAAAATGCCAAGTTGCTTCTGTCACAAGACGCTCGATCATCGCTTGGTCCTCGATTTGTCCAAAAGCGTCGCTTGTGATCCCACAATTCTTCGAGATGGCACTGAGGGCACGGCTGAGCTGACCTGCCAACATGGAAGCTAAACTGACGCAAAATTTGAAGTTTCTCTGTGAAACCTGTGTACTTTTGGAATGCAAGTTTGCTGCCTTGGCCTTGTCAGTGCGGGGCGCTGCTTTGGCTCGAGTTTGCGAAGGCATGGCAGTTCGAGTCGGTTTCCTCGGGACAAACCCAAACAAGAAGTTCCCTTCAACTGTCGCAAGCCAAAATCCGCAAATCTGAACCTGAAGGGTTCCCCACTCATCAATTTCTTCTTCTGTCCTAGCGCCCACGACCTGGCAATTGGAACCATGGGTGTCCAATCTTGTTCACAGCCAAGCAACGACTGCTACCGTACCTACATCCCTGACACATTTCAGGTACCATGAACATATGTGAACAGTAACATAAGTGACGATATATACATATAGATATATGCGTATACATATTTTTAGATAGATAGATAATTGGATAGATAGATCGATTAGAAAGATAAAAAATAGAAAGATAGATAGATAGATAGATGGATAGATGGATAGATGGATAGATGGATAGATGGATAGATGGGTAGATGGATAGATGGATAGATGGATAGGTGGATGGATAGATAGATACATAAATAGCCCTGAGAGAGATAGACAGATGGATAGATAGACAGATAGATAGATGGAGATAGTGGAAAAGGGAGGAAAATTCCACAAAGGTACCCTCCCACCAAGTGCCCCCAGCGCCCTTCCAGGCCCCTGGCCGTGGCCCTGCCAACCCTTGTTTTACTGCGCGTCGAAGCTGCCGTCTGGGAGCCTCGAAGCTAGCTTTGTTGACGATTTTCCGTTCAGAATTAGATTTGCCCTGTTGCTTTCTTTTGATTTTTCTTTGCTTCCATTTGATTTCTTTTCTGTTTGATTCCTGCTCATTTCGTTTTCATCCCTCTTCACCTCTTTTTGGATTCCTTTTCACTTCCTTTTGATCTCCATTGATTACCTTTTTGGTTCTTTTCATTTCCGGTACATTCCTTTGGATTTCTGACACTTCCTTTTATTTCCGACTGATCGCTTTTCATTTTCTTTTGATTCCCATTGGTTCCCTTTTCATACCTCGTCATTCCCTTTTGCTTCCTTTGGGTTTCTTCATGCGTGTTAATTTCCTTCTGCTTCCTCTTGATTTCTTTTGATTCCTTACGATGTCCTGTTCACTCCTAATGGTTTCCTATTCCTTTTGGTTTCCGTTTGCTTCCTGTTCATCCTCTGGCTTTCCTTTCCAGTTCCTGTTGATTCCTGCTAAATGCCCTTTGATTGCTTTGGATTCTTTCTCGCTTTCCTTTTGGTTCCTGTCGGTTTGTTTTGCTTCCTTTTCATATTTGTTCGTTTACCTTAAAGCACTGTCTTTGTTTTACCAAATAGGGGCCGGCGGCACCTGGGCCGGCCCTGAGGCGCTCCCTTCCACCCGGGGACCGCCGGGGACCGCCGACCCAGCGCGGGCATGCTCTATCGGAGGCACCTGGAACCTCGCAGGGCCACTGGGGGAGAGCGTGGACGCATGTTTTTTGTCGAAACCATGCACGATGGACCAATATAGCATCGGCATAGCTCCCAGATAGTCGTTTTCAAAGGCCCGTGGCGCGAGATACGCTGCCCGAGTGGCCTTGCAATTTTAGCGTTGCGTAATTCTGCTTGCTCGCCTTCTCTTCCTCTTCAGAGAAAGAGAAAGGGAAAAAGAAAGGGAAAAAGGAAGAGAAAGAAAAAGAGAAAGAGACAGCGGAAGAGAAAGAGGAATAGAAAGCGGAAGAGCAAGAGAAAGAAAAAGCGCAAGAGAAAGAGGAAACAAAAGAGAAAGAGACAGAGAAAGATAAGAGAGAAAGTGAAAGGGAAAAAGGAGAGCGAGAGAGAGAGAGAGAGCAAGAGCAAGAGCAAGAGCAAGAGCAAGCGGACAAGGAAGAGAAAGATTCGGTAGGAGGAAGAGAAGGAGACAGAGAGAAGGAGAAAATGAAAAAGAGAAAGACAAAGACGAAGAGGAAGAGAATGAGGACGCGGCAGGAAAAAAGGAAGAGGGCGAGGACCTGCACCTGCCCTGCATACGCCTGCGCCTGACGCCTGCTCTCCTTCTCTTCCTCTTCGAGAGAAAGAGAAAGAGAAAGAGAAAGGTGAAAAAGGAAGAGAAAGAGGAAGAGAAAGAGACAGTGGAAGAGAAAGAGAAATAAAAATAGTTAGAGAAAGAAAACATCAAGAGAAAAAGAAAAGGAAGAAAAACAAACACTCATAGAGAAGCAGAGAAAGTGAAAGGAAGAGAGAGAGAGAGAGAAATAGAGAGAGAGAAGTTGGCGATGTGTTTTTGAGGCATGGACTGAACACAGCGGTATGTGTAGCATCCATTCAAACCCGATTAGAAAAATGTATTTTTCAACCTTTCTGACGGCTCGCCCGACTTTTTCCAGGTAGTACCTCTACAGGGCGCTGCCGAGAACACGACGACATAGACCTGGCGCAACCAATGTAAACAAGTTCTAAGTCCAGCACACGCGCTAAATCCCCGGCGCAGCCCCGAAAAACGATCCAGCAAATCTACGTCTATGTCCATCCCTACCGTCGCCACCCGAGCGTTCTCAAACAAAAGCGCTCGCTGCTCTCTAAACTCCTTTTCATCCAACGAAACCACCGCAGGCTTCAGACCGCTGCGCTACCTCATTTGTGGCTGGTTGCTGCGCTACGCGCTGTCAACCCTTTGCTCGAGGCTCGAGGACGCTGCGCTCTGAAAAAAGCAGCGACATAGGTTGGCCACGTGTCTGCAACGCTTCCCGCTGTCACGAGATTCAGACAAGTCCGTTGGCCGCATCAGTCGTGACTCGCCTTAGACAAGCTCTTGCTCTGCTGCAAAATAGGGCTAACAGCCTCTGAGCCCACTTTGATGTGAGCTGCTAGGCCGATAACGGCGTCACTGATCTTCGCGATCGCCAGGTTCTGGTTGTCAACCTTTGGACCCAGCGCGGCATTCGATTCCCTAATCTTGTCAGCAAGCTCAGCCAACTTCTGCATAGTGGCACTGAGGGAACCAAATTTCGCCACTGCCCACAGCAAAGTATCCAAAAGGGACTCAACCTTAATGTCAGAAGGTGGCCCTGGAGGCATGGAAGCAGTCTCTTCAGATTGGTCTGGTTCACCATTGTGGAGCATCACCAACTTCTCAAAGTAGCTCCAGCTGTAGACTGCCGCGCCACCCCGAAGGAGGGGTAACTTGGTCTCCAAGCTGTTCGCCTCAATCCTCAACTCACTGAGGCTCTTGCCCTGGAAGGTGACCAATTAAGGCCTCACTCAACGGTCGCTGAGCAAAAATCTCTGTCGGATCCTTGCCCTCACGCTCACTTGTCTCAAGGTCCCCAATCACATTGCGAAGCTGAAACAAGAACATATTCAAATTTCCAGCTGCGGTGTGCCCAACGGGTCGATTGGTTGCACAGGATATTGATACTGGCGCTCTCCAGCATCCCTGCCGAAACTTCCGACTCATGGAATCGGTACTGCTGAAGCTCCTCAATTCGTTCTTGTTTGCAGTAAGAACCCCATGGCTATCCCTATACTTGCTGTTGTTTAGCAGTAGCTTGGTTGCTCTTGGGGTCTTCTTTGTTGCAAAGTTGAGTAATAAGGTGTGCATGATGGTGCTATTCAAGTAAGAGGTGTTGCTAAGTTGGGTAATAAGAGGTGTGCATGACGTTGCTCAAGTACAAAAGGTGTTGCTAAGTTGAGGAATAGGTGCGCACGCCGTCAAAGTACTGTCTGGTCAGCGTTGTGACCCTTCATTGGTTTGATGTCCTGAAACTTTCCAATGTTTGACAATGAAGCTGGTCCTGACAGTGTGACCAGTTTAAGGTTTGTTCTTGTTATCTATCAAAACAATCCACCTGAGACATTCACATCCATATGATTGATCCTATGTTTTGGTCCTATGTTTGTCTCAATCTAACTACTATTTGACATAACTTTTTTTTAGGGGCATAGTGTTGCCCAGCTTCCCAGATGATATCCGTACATTGAATGTTTACAGAAAGAACAACCCCAAGCATAGTAGCAGTAAGGTCGCCCACCCCATACTATACAGATGTTATACATTATTCCTGTGTTTGAATGAAAACATATGTGGGGATTGTGGTGATAAGTCCGAGATTGCGGCGATAAGTCCAACTTCGACGCCTTGAAATCATTGCAACCTCCTGGCGCCTCGGCAGGGTTTTTGGCTCAGTGAGTTTTGTCACCGCCACAGCTGCATCCTGCCTACCTTGCCATGGAATCGTAGCCTCTCACCCTAAGGTTGGACTTGTCTACCGATTATGATCCAAGGTCCACGGACCAAATTGAATGAACCTCTAAGGAGGTATTGACTTGATGTCGACGGACACAACTAATTGACTAGTCTGTCTAAGGACAGATCTGCACTTGTCTACGGACAGGCGAAGCCTATAGTCTACGGACACATCAGGAAAATGTCTTCGGACTGACTTGTCGACAGGTAAGAAAAGACAGACAAGGTTTGAAAGTCTACGGACACTCATCATCCCATGACAGCGTCTACAGACAAATTGTGACTGTTTACGGACATGTGTGTTTCAAGTCAGCTCACTCTGGAACAATTTGCTGCTGTTTTAGATGAGACCAGCTATACTTTGGAAAAAAGGCGTCCCTTCCAAGCAATGATGACAAACTGCGCACCGTGCCTGGCGAACACACGCTTGGGACAAGGATGATATTATATCCCAAAGCTTCGGCGCCGCTTGCTTCTTGAGGAAGCTGCTGCGTTACAATGAGTGCCAAAGAAAGTTGCGAAAGCCATAATATATTTTTTTTTTTTAATTTATATAAATTATATAATAATCATGTGAAGCGATATGCTTAGTCAGAAAAGTAGTAAAGAATATCTGTTGCTTTGTGTTCAAAAAGCAACGTCGATCTTCTTCCCCGGCGCACACTGGGAGTGATCTCGGCCAAGCCAAGGATGCCACCAGTGCTGCTCGAGTTGCCTCGCACTGAACCGAAAAGGCTATGAAACGCGAAAAACAAAAGAAAAAAGAGGACCTCCAACCTCATAGCGATGGCCTCCACCCTACTAGCGGCCTCCACCCCAACCCAATAGCGATGGCCTCCACCCCAATAGCGATGGCCTCTACCCTAATAGCGAAGGCCTCCAACTTAATAGCGATGGCCTCCAACCCAATAGTGATGGCCTCCAACCTATGAGCGCTGGCCTCCAATCTAAGTCTTTAAGAGCCATGGCCTCGTACCTAAGGGCGACGACCTCCAACCCACTAGCGATGGCCTCCAACCTAAGAGGATGGCCTCCACCCTAGTAGCGATGGCCTCCAACCTAAGAGCGATGGCCTCCAACCTACTAGCGATGGCCTCCAACCTACTAGCGATGGCCTCCAACCTCATAGCGATGGCTTCCACCCTACTAGCGATGGCCTCCAACCTAAGAGCAATGGCCTCCACCCTACTAGCGATGGCCTCCAACCTAATAGCGATGGCCTCCCACCTAATAGCGATGGCTTCCACCCTACTAGCGATGGCCTCCAACCTAAGAGCAATGGCCTCCACCCTACTAGCGATGGCCTCCAACCTAATAGAGATGGCCTCCAACCCAATAGCGACGGCCTCCAACCTACTAGCGATGGCCTCCAACCCAGTATTCATGATAATGCACCAAAAAACAGAACTTGTTTACACGTGGCAACGATTTGTTTCGCTTGCATCTGGAGCACACCCGGTTTGGGCGGTTTTTCCGTTGCACCTGGAACTTCTGTTTTGGTGACCTGGAACTGGAACTGACTCTACTTCTGCGTGCTTTTCGTGTGTTTTATGTGTTTCTTCTGTGATGCCTTTTTTCTTGTGTGTGCGTTGTGTTTTTCCGACCAAAGAAAAGAGCATGTCCAAATATTTTGCCGTGTCGTCTGTCACTTCAGTCTTTGAACTTCTACAAAGATTCGGGCTTTCTTCTTCTTCGGTGACTTTTCCTTTTCGGGCGTCTCCAGTGTCCTCAGGACTTTCCGATCACTCGACTTTCTCCTGCATCCTTCAAGCTGTTCAAAAATGTCCTCTCCATAGAGCTTTCAGCCTCACAATTTTACAAGCCCGCACAATGCCCCGAAGCTAAGAGGATGACAGCCAACAACTTTCAGGCGTGTCCGTTTTGAACTACTAGGGGCTCCTGGCCTTACTAGGAACAAGAGGACGCTACTACTTTTGAAACAAAAGACAAGCTTTCGATCACAAAAGCACAGGATCACTCCAACGGGCACCCTCGTTGCGTCCGCAGAAACTGCTCCGGCAGAGTCGCTCCAAGGTGCCTGGTCGGACCGAGAGAGAGAAAGACTAGAGATGGCAAAGCCACACAAAACAGCCAGATGCACTTTGTTACTAGTAGCTTCTTGTTACTACTAGTAAGGCACT